GGTCATAGAGGCACTCAAGCCATCACACCACGTCAAGGCACAGTCTCGTCGTGATGGGAGCAAATCGATTTCGCTGTCGTGCCATGGGTGCAGGGCTATTCCCAGAATCAGATCCACTATAAACTTTAATGAAAAAGAGGATGGCAACCTTGAAAAACACCACTTTCCGCGATGAACTCGGACAAAATGTTGTAAACTCGAACTCAGCTTCGGTTGTTAGTATGTTGACGTCCGTGTGTTAGCGCTCAGTAGGCCAGTGACCGCAATTCAGTCCAAAAGGAAGCGCTCGGCCTGGGCTCTAGTAGCACCACGATAGTCGGATACTTAATCGTTTTACTCATGTAATGTGCAGCGGGAGAATGAGGTTGAACCTGAAGGACACAAAGTGATCATTGAAGTAGGATCTTGTTTGTGTTTTGGAGGCTTAACATAGGTCTAAATTCAAAGTTTCAAGGGTTATAGCTGAGACAGCTTGTTGGTCTCTCTGGTAAAGTATGCGGACATTGAATGAGGCTAAGGGAGAAGCAGATTCTGATTTCTACATTCTAATAGCTTCTGGTTGGTTGACCTTACTAATTAATCGGTAGGTTATATCCAATAAGTGACGCAAATGGGAGTGATTTGGAATGATTCGGGAGTGAGAAGGAAGGGGTTAGACCTATCGCTGGAACGTAAGCGAAGCACCTGTGTGGGAGTTTCTACAGACCCGTCACGCATAGCCTTTTGGTTTCGGTTCAGTGTTTCGTCCATAGATAACCAAGCTGCTGGCTCTTTGAAGTTGAGCTTTTTCTGGCCTTTACTCATTAACCTTTTATCCATGATTGGGTTTGCAGCTGTGAAAAGCTATCCTGTGTAGCTCGCTGGACCATGAAGGCACGCAAATCACCGTATCATGTCAAATGTCATTCACGTCGTGATGGCGAAGTCAGTGAACATTGATTCTATTGTATCTGTGGTGGAATTAGCTGACATTTCCAGTATTGCATTAATGCACTTCGATAGTTCTCTGTTCACGAAACCAAATACAACTTTCGAGGTAGAACCTTTAACCTATGTGCACATAGGACTTGAGATTCAGTCCTTGGTGCTCCGTAATAAAATACTTGCTTGGGAACTGTTTTTATGCTACTTGCCACTCGCATTTATTAGTATTATTATTTTCAATTGTGTTTCCCACGGAAAGACTAGAAATGGTTGTGCCCATAACAGACTGACGAAAACAGTAATGGGCTTTCGCCTTTTTATCAAACTGAGTCTTTATATAGTAAATGTTCCAATAACAAATGAGTTATTTGATGATCGAAGGAACAATGAAACAGAAAGCCATCGCATCTGATATGTGCCAGCAATCATCACTGTTTTTGATCGGTTGTAAAATGGGTTTGTTTTTTAGTAGTCGATTCTTCTGTACTGCTGAAAACTTACTCCTTGTTCGAATATTCTGCCATTGTTCAAGGTTTCGAGCCAGATGGTGCGCTCAACTTAGACGATAGGCTTTTTGTACTTGTATGCATCATTTGCTCGACAGTGAGAAGTTTGCGGAAAGAGATGTATTCGGTTCTCTGTTTCCGAGAGTACACTACCACAATACGAACTTTGGTTACATTATACTGGATTCTCAGCGTCCTTTCGTACATCTCAAGTCAGTCTCCTCTGTCGCCTATCCGTTCAGTTAACTCGTAAGTCGTTAGTAAGCTGCAATAGATTTACGCAAATGCTCTATCAGAGTGACGCGAATAGTTGAATGAAAACCTTTTTTTTTTACAATCGTCGCAGTTTGCTCGTCTTTGTTTAATGGTTCAGTCTTGTTGAACATCATGTGACTTTGTTTGTCCGCCCCACCAATGTCTGTGTCCATGATTTGTGTTTGTTTATATTCCAACAATGTCTGCCCATTCATCACAATTACTACATCGAACCATATGGTCATTACTGAAACGATCTATCAATGCGATACTTTCAGTTATTGCTGCTGTATTTTGTTAGGTATGAGCCACCGTGGTGATAGCCTCCTTCAGCCCCGCACCATATACCGAAGGTACCCTGACTATTTGGTTGTCAAGAGAAATAAGACCCTGGACCCTATGCTGTCCTGTTGATTTATATCCCGACGTCCTCTATCAACTGTCAGACACAGAATCTATTGTAACTGTGCTTATCGACTGTCTGTATGGTTGTGTTCCTTTTGATATCCAGTTCTACCTGTTACTTGAAGGTATATCTATGCTTTCGTCGGTATATCCACATAAGTTGTGATCGGATTTTCCCTTTTTATACGCGTTTATGACACCAGCTGCTGCAAGCACTTCCACAGTACATGAAAAGTTGAACAGTCCACATTGTCATTTTGATTTGGCTGAGTCAGAGGCTGAGAAGGAAACTACAGCCACTCATCTCACACCGTTTCCCAAGGCTGATTCGCCAGCGGTCTTTAATCATATGGTACGTGCGCCGAAAAGTGATTTGGATCGGGTTCGAGAGATTCGGTTTCATCAAGATTGTTTTATATCGCCCTATTTGGCCTCGGACGACATGTTCCGTCAACTTCCTCCTCTTGGTATTGCAGTAAGTTTATCTCTATCTGATGCACTTTTTTTTATTACACACTTTCTTGTGCAGACGGGGAAAACCCCTTATTCATTTAGACGTGCTGATTGTGCTGATTGCTCATTCACCTACAACGATCGATCTTAACATAGTTACAGATTTCACTCAAGCTATTCGTTTTAATATGTTGGCGAAATGCTTACTACCTTGCACAGAAATTCCCGGTGGATATTCACATTGTTATTCAAAGATCGTCTTTGTGTACGCGTTGTAAGTGGAAGGCAGAGGGTGGTTGTAAATAGGTGGGTAGATTAACGAGTGAGAGTTCATGAACGGAGGTTACGCCCCCAGATTGTTAGTGGGTAGCCATGGTAAGAACAGTTTTTACAAACTGTTTTTGAGCGCACACGTGGGGCGGGGGTTGTGAAGACGAATGGCAATCGTCTCAGCTGTTGACGAAATTCTGAACTTGACCTCTTTGAATTACCTACCTAAGGCATTTGACACAGCAACTAAGAAGCATGTCTATCTCTCTATCCCATTCAGGGGAGAAACGATCGCAAAAATATTGAGTAGACGAATTCAATCTTCCATCAAATTCATCACTTTGCGGCTGCACCCCGCATTATATTCACGTCCAAACCGGTCCTCTTTTTGCAGACTAAAGATAGATTACCTCCGGGATGCGATCTCATTTTGTGTTGATCATTTCACCTGCTCCTGTGGAGCAAGTTATGTGGGTCTAACCAATAGCCGTCTATCTGACGGCATCAAGGAGCATCACTCCATTTAGTTGAACCAGAGATTGACAAGGACCGGAGTGACGGCAGTTACGAACCATTCGACTGAGGCTAATTACACAATCAATGTGCTTGAGGCTTTCCGTCCTCTCTATACGGTTAAAGGTAGGTTATCCAGAGGTCAAATTCGGAATTTTGTCAATAAGCTGAGGCGATTGTCATCCGTTTCCACAACCCCCGCCCCGACATGTGCGCTCAGAAACAGTTTGTAAAAGCATTGGTCTTACCATGATCACTCACTGACAATCTGGTGACTTAACCTTCGTTCATGAACTCTCACTGAAAAATCTACTTAAAAACCTATTAGACCGCTTTGGATGAAGGAAATCTGTTGCACGTTCCAGGTGGCTTATTTCCCAGTCGAGATGGAGGGTGATAGTTCAGATGCCGAAGGGGGCCAGTTAAACAGCCTCGAAATGTTCAGCCCATCGATTAAGACAGCGTTGCTGATGGTGAATCAGTGTACCATCGGATTCCTTAATCACCTCACTTACGCCTGTTTTCCTGGGACCCGTATTCCTAATTAGACAGAAGAGATCGCGACTATTACCTATAGCTGCAGCTTCCTCCATCTCTTTAAACGTCTCTACCCACCACTTCTCGTGGTCATTCCTCAGATTCCTGATGAGCTGGCGTTTACGGGTTTGCGCGCTATTTCATATGTCGCATCCGAAGAGAGGGTTCTGCGGGCGTCCAGCTGGGTAGCCGAGGTCGAAGAGGTCCATTTGTGTTTTGAGCCTGCCCCAGGGTCCGACCTTGTTTTTTATCGATACTTGCATAGCCTCCTTTATTTGCTTCCAATGTTCATTCGGTCCTTCGGTTGATGATTGAACTGATAGGCTATCGGCGAGTTCCGCTTCGAAGGCCGATTTGCAGCAATCGCTGACACTATATCGTGGATATCCGTTGTCGGTGGCCTTTTTTNTTTTTTGCCAGGCGCAAGTAGAATTTGTGTGGACCGGTAAGAACGGTAGTCGTGAATCAACTCTCTCCAGCGGTAACCAATGTCGATGTGGTGGATCTGGTTTACTGCAATCGGTCGGTGGATACACCGATACGACGAATAAGCATCGACGCCTCGTTCTGTATCTGTTGACCCGTGCCGAACCGTTGAGACTTACAGCGCACAGTCGACCGCTGACTGGAATCTAGTCAACAAGCGAGCGCTCAGCCTTGACACTTAACGCAATCCCAACACCATCAACACCGGGAACTTCGGATACTGAACCGCCTGACACACGGAGGGTGAAACGTGAGGTTGAGGTTGCGTTAGGAGAACGCAGGTAGATGATTGAATTAGGGTCTTGTATGCGTGTTTCCGAGATACAACATACTTCCAAATTGAAAGTTTCACTGGTTCGAGCCAAGGCACCTTGTTGACCAATCTGATAGAGTGTGCGGACGTAAAATGCGGCCAAGTAAAAAGGGAATTTTAGCTTCAAAATTGCTGTAACTTCTGGTTGTTTGACCTTGCTGGTGCGACCTTGCTAAGTGATATTCGATGGCTGGCGTAAACAGGAGGGGTCTGGGATAATTCGGGATTTAGAGGAACTAGATAGATGGGAACGAGGTTTTTCCCAATGGGTGCCTAAGGCTGTAGAGCACGACATACTTCGCGGTAGCCCACGCCGACAAAGGGGTTTTTCTTTGGGAACCCTAACCGGAGCTTTCTACTCAAAAGTCTGACCCACAAGGCAATGGGGCGTAAATCCAGCGCAGGATCGTGAACAAAGCACCCGTATGGGAGCTTCTAGAGACCTGTCACGCAAGGCCTTTGAATTTCGATTGTGTTGTTCGCTGGTGCTCGATTGTCGGTCCGCTTTTCGGGATCGGCCCTTAGCCTCATGCACCCAATGAGACAAGCGGAACGTGGACGGGACAGCACTTTATTGGCTGGGGGCTGCCGAGCTTGGGCGGGCGGTGGCTGTCCAATGAAGTGCGAAGACTTCTCCCACCGTCGAGAGGAAGCCCCAGGTACCCCGTTTCTGCGTCCATCTAGCGAGGGTTTTTTGACCGGTAAACTGCCCCTCACCGTGTTTGTTTTACTGGAGTGACCTCTCCAGGGGTGGGTGTGGATAGAAGAAAGAAGCCAGGAGGTGCCCAAGCAGCTGGCTTGTGAAACTGAGCTTCGTCTGGCCTCTACCCGTTGAACTTTCAGGCATGATTTGATCTACGGCTGTGAAACGTCATCCTGTGTAGCTCGCAGGGTCATAGAGGCACTCAAGCCATCACACCACGTCAAGGCACAGTCTCGTCGTGATGGGAGATCACGTGTTCCGCTCAGCGTTTTCTCTACAACGAGGTGCATCCAGCTCTTGCTCTTATTGGCGCCATTTGTAATACAACAAGGTGATGGCGATGACTTCATTTAGTTAAAGGACGAATTCCCCATATCTGTGAAAATCCTAAGCTTTCGAATAAGGAAAAATCTTTCGTCAGCGCAAATGTCCTATATCTTCCGAATTCGTCCCTGATTGTCAGTTGCTATTTATTCACTCACCCGGTGCTTATCTATTCGGGTTTGAGCATCTGGGCGGTCGTTCTCGCGTGCAGGACTCGAAGAAATGCTCAGTTGAGTACAGCTTCAGTGGACCTAAACTTCTATTATTATGCGGTCTCGGGTAATCATCAGCTAGATATTCGTGTGGCAAAAAGTGATGCCTTGCATCCTCCACTGCTCGTGTTCGTTTGTCGTTTCATAATGCTTACTTCATACATTGTATTATTCACGCTTTTTTTCGCCAAAATGTTTTATAGTTTGTTTGTTGATTGAGCGATCTATCATGGGACATCAGTAGAGAACAACGCACAAAAGTGCAGAGTTGATGAGGAGAGGAGTACCTTTGACATTACCTAACCATCTTGAATCTCTCGAACGCTCTCACTTTGCCTTTAATCGTCTTATCCGTCATATTTCTCCACTTATATCTGGCTGAGTTCACTTGATTCCCAACGTCTTCATATGTGTGGTATTTTATTGTCACAGTGTTCATCACTGCGTTCAAAGTCAACGCTTGTTGTAAACAAACCAGTTTTCTTTCTGTGCATCACTCTTACAAGGAGGATACCATTTCGTCATTAGGGTCTGTGGTATTTTTTGATGCCATCCCAGTCGTATGATTCCAAACAGCTTTTTTCTAAATTGTTCTTCTAAATCCTTACCTTACTTAAAGTCGAATGGTCATAGGTTATCCTATCTATGAAATAATGCACCTAATAATAACACTGAAGGCTACTCATTCAGAGTCCGATTATACGAGTAACCTAATGCTCTGCTGAGTTGGTAGTCACTCTCCTTTGACCTCCCTTATTGACGTCAAACTGTGTACACACCCATACTTGTTCACCGCAGTGCTCCACTTTTGATCCATTTTTGGACGATTGTCTGGAACTGGCCAAACGAGCGTACAGTCTGAATGTTCCGATTGATTTACGCGTGTTCGAGGATTTGCCTCATGCATTTCTCAATTTTGCGCCACTCGGACCGGAGTTCCAACATGCAAATCAGGTGTGCATGCACATGGTTAAACGATTGTTCGAACGCCAGCTGACCGTTCCACAGTCCCGACCGAATTCGCCCTGTACCTATTCGAGCTGCAAATCCTATACAGATCCCTGATACTTGCTCTTCTCCACCTTGGTGACGTGACCCGGATGTGATAAGCCAATAAATGTTCAATGTTCCGTGCCTAAATTTGTGGTGAATTTAGTTGTTCTGCATTTCTGACTACTTTAAATAGCTATACACCTGTGATCTGTTCCTTATATTCCCAAACGACAGGATTCAAGTTTCTTCTATACTCATTTTCGTTCCTCCGGCTTATGCACTTCATTCTTCATTGTGTTTATTTCTTTGTGAGTGTCTTGATAGTCTTTCATAATTTAGAGCATACTTCCAAATGCGACGAAATAATGTGAACTGGCCACTTTGCTGATCATCGGTACTCGGTATTCCACCAGAAGCGCCAACTGGAACGTTTTGACTTCGTTCGCCTCGGTTTCTCTTGTATCCTACCCGTCCACACATGCACACATCTAATCGGATTTGGCTTTGACCCAATCCTCATGTGATCCTTCCGTTTAAATTCCGTTGACCGCCTCCGTTCTGTGTTCCCTTGAATGTTACCGAAGTCGCTCGCCAAATGTGTACCTTTTGATATGCGACGAATGTCACCATTTCCGCACTTTTGCGCGCGTGTGTCTGTGTATTGACCTATGGATCTGTTTACTAACTACTATTCCGGACGATTTATTTTTTCCCCATGGTCCACATGCGCATTATTGTTGTTTTATTGATATCCCTTGGATAATTTATTTACCTGTTAACTTACGAAGCGTCTCCACAAATGTGCGCATCACTAACCTCCACATTTCGTTCAAATAGCTCATTTATAAAGAGACACGGTATGTGATACAGCATCGGTGGTAAATTTTTTTCTTTTTGTTCACTTGCATGCGGCTTTGTCGGCGAAGAGGTTAGTTGTCATTGTTACGAGATTTCTGGCAGTTAGTTTCATTGGCAATGCGGATTTTCTGGTAACGAATTTCGTTTGATAAATAGTTAGTGTATGAGAAAATGACTTTAGTCCTTCGGGTTTTGGATTCGTTTATAATGTAATTAGTATCTAAACCAAGTTAGTTGAAATGTAAGGCGGAGAATTACTAACCAACGACGTTCTAAGTGTATTTTTATTATTTTATTTTACAGAACTTAACTGATTATTGCTACAGATTTTATATCCGCTATCCGTACGTCGGATAGGCT